TCTAAATCCTAAACTCACCTCCTGTTTTGTAAAAGATTCACAAAATCATCGAATTAATGATCAAGTAATTCAATGCATTAAATTCATAGCAAATTCAATGCATAACAGATAAAAGAACAAGAATCTTGAATAAAATAAATGGTCCCAAGTAGGTTATATTATTCGCCCTAACAAGAATTTTAGTTGTTCATAATGAAAGAGGAAAAATAATAGATTATTATTGAATACATCACCAGATTTTTTGTAAAGATGTAGAAAAAGAAGTCAATCTTGAACCAAATCTTCTTCCTCTTCCAATCAATGCTTCAAACAATGAATTTTTTGATGTTTTCCTTGCATTGAATTGCTTCTTTGATTCTCTAGTTGTGTTCTCCTCTTCTCAAAGTGTGAAATCCCTTCAAAAATATGGAAACTTGTATTTATAGTTGCCTCCTCATTTGTGTCACAAGTAGGGTCTTTGCTTTCTGTGGGGCCTCAGTGCCTGTTGTGTGCCGCTACGATGCCACAGCTCTGTTCACACGGTGGCGTTGTGGCGACCCTCGTCCGTTCTCCTTATGCTTTAACTCTTTTGCCCTTTCTTCCGTCATTTCTTCTCAGTCCACGCCGATAGCTTTATTTGATGAATTGTTTCGTATCTTTCACCATCTCAACATTTCTACCCCGTAAAATCTAGTTCACAATCAAGTTTACAATGGAATAAAATACACTCTTCATTATTCAATTTTATATATATTGCTCAATTTATTTTTTAAATGAAAATTATTGTTAGTATTCATAAGTTTAGAATTTCTAAACTTGGGCACATATTTCCATCTAGGTTCTTTCTAAACTTGGGCACAAACTCAATTAGTTTCATTATAATAAAAAAAGAAAGCACCCCAAGAGAAAAATTGATACAGATTTTATATTGATTTTGCCCGTATTTCACATAGTAATTAGATTTTAGTAGATTTATAAGTAACGAAATACATGATTAAAAAATCAAAAAAAGTTGATGACATGAAACGTGTAATTAAAATTAATATTTGACTTTAACTTAAATATTTATTTTTTAAGCTACACCAAATAGAGACTTAATTACAAGTAAAATATTGATCTTTCCTATCATCACTTCTTCATACGATTGATCAAACAAAATGTGGGCCATCAATCCTAAATATATTTTTCATTGTATATTTATTTTATAAACATTGACCAGGTTTTGCTTTCATATTTTTCCTGTGTGGGACAAACTCAATTTTTCCCACATAAATCATCTTCCAGTGGTCAACTTTGAGCTCCAATTTCTCATTCATCCATTTATCAATTTTGGTAAGTAAATATATGATTTTGATGCTCTCACGGAGGAGAACACAGATCAACTTTGATCATCCCACCGAAAATTTTGCAAAAAGTGAGCCATTTACTCATTTTTTTTTCCAACATAAAAATGGATTGGTGATTAGCAGGTGGTTATTTTTGGGGGATGTTATGAACGTTTGAATATTCTTTTTCTATTTTAGTTAATATAGAAAGGAAATTCAAAAACTAATATCACACACACACAAAAAAAAATTGATGTAATTTTCATAAACCAAGTATATTGAAGGTAGCAACTAGGTTTGTCAATGAAACTTCAGTTGAAGATATTGAAAGCATTCCGAAACCTAGTCCAGTTCTGGATGTACAAGTATCTTTGTTGTTCCCCATTTTGTGAATGCTTGCATGGGGTCGATAAAAAGGATGTATTGATTTTAAGGCATGTCTGAGAAGTGTTTATCAACAGTTTAAATTATAAATAAGTAGAATGAGTGATGACTAAGCGGATAGTACTTGTGAATACCTCAAACTAGTGTATGAAAAGTAGCTTAAGTCAAGAACGGAGTTATGGGGGGCAAAACAATAGAAATTTAATATATGAATAATATTCATATATAACAAAAAAAGTCATAATATAATATTATCAATTATAGTTGTATCCGATGATGCTTTATAGCATAAAATTTATCATCTAAATCTAAATTCAAAGAAAAATCACAACTGTTATCATGTTTGTAACTCTTATAAAACACCACAATTTTCCGATTGGTAAAAGCGCACAGCCCAAGTCTTAAAGCTACACAACTGTTCGCTTTTGCTTTTCATTTCGTGTTTGA